TGCTTGTTTTCTTGCAGACGTCTCATGACCCAACTAGGTAACCTCATCAGTGCTAGTTCTTACTATTCCTTTTGGGAGGGAATGCATCCCAGCAAGACAGCAGGGTTAGAATGGAACTGAATTGAAATCAAATTAAAATTTGGTGCTCCTAGAGCTCTCGGTGCATTAATTTTTTGGGGGGGGGTGTCATGTTGCAGTGAGATTCGAATCAACGTTTCAGAAAGGATCACAGATCCACTGCTAAACTGAACTAAACACTAAATTAAACTAAACTAAATTGAAGTAAACATTAAATGAAAGTAAACTAGATTAAGCTAAATTAAACTATACTGGATTAAACTAAAGTACTGTATTGTTTGGACTATAAAATGCACTCCCCGCCCACCAAAAAAAGTAGGTGGAAATGTCTGTGCATCTTATAGAGTGAATGTTGCCGTAGCCACACCTGCCTGCCGGCCCCCACCCTTCAGCCTCTGCCTCCCAGCAATTTGCCTTCTTGCAGCAAACAGCTTGGTCAGGTTCAGCACAGCCTGATTTAGCTGATCGACGGTTAGATTGGCCTCCCGGAATACCTCCGATCAGCTGTTCCAGGTGCCGGGAATCGCCTCCACCGCCTATCACCGCTGCCTGGAACAGGCAGAAAACAGGACACACGGAAGCCAAAAACGGGGCACACAGAGGCCAAAAACAGGACACATGGAGGCCAAAAAGGGGACATGCGGAGGCGGCAATAGGTGGTAGCAGCCACAGCCTGGAACAGCTGATCGGAGTTATTCCAGGAGGCAGATCCAACAGCCAATCAGCTGTCAACTCGCAAAGCATCCCTGACCTGCTCTCGAGTTGCCATAAGCAAGGGGGGTGTCAGCGTCCCAGCACTGACAGGGGGATGGGAAACCAACGAAACGGCACGGCAGCCAAAGGCAGATGTACATTCCAGACTTATCTCTCTCAAGGCTGTATCCCAGGGTTACCCACAGCGGCCAGAAGGGAGTGGTCTCTACAACCCATGAAATTGCTCCTTTGGCGAATGTGATTGATGACACACCCTGGGGGGGCAGGGGGGGGGAAACAGGGTCATGATTAGGGCAGAAATTATGTAAGATCAGAGCTTGCTTCACTTGGGAACGTGCCAACATGAAGCTCCTAATAAATGGATTTCTGGATTTCTTTTGAAGCTTGGCTCAAGTTTGGACATCCCTTGGAACCCTGACATCAGCTGCTCATGCTAAATCAGACTATGCTGAAGCTGACCAGGCTGTTTGCTGCAAGGAGGCAAATTGCTGGGAGGCAGAGGCAGATTTTTTTTTTCTTGTTTTCCTCCCCAAAAACTAGCTGCGTCTTATAGTCCGGAGCGTCTTATACAGTGGTGGGATTCAGCCGGTTCGCATCACTTCGGGAAAACCAGTTGTTAACTTTCTGAGCAGTTTGGTGAACTGGTTGTTGGAAGAAATCATTAGGGCAGAGAATCGGTTGTTAAATTAGTTGCATCCCACCACTGGTCTTATAGTCTGAAAAATACAGTACTGTGAGCTAAATTGAATTAAACTAAACTAAATTAAACTAAACCGGATTAAACTAAACTATATTGAGCTAAGCTAGATTAAACTAAGCTAAACATGAAGTTAAACTAAACTAAATTAAACCAAACAATAAACTAAATTGAATTTAAATGAAACACTAAATCTAACCAAATTAAATTAAACGCTAAATTAAACGAAACATTTGGTTAAGCTGGGAGATCCCCATTTCCCGTTTTTTGACATCTGAGGAAAAAAAATCTTGAAATGTCAGCAAGATTATTGTATGTACCGCAGAGGAGAAATACTGAAGTACCCACAAGAAGAGGATTTAATTTAATTTAATTTAATTTAATTTGTAACTGCTGCAAGGAAGTTCTTTGTCACTTCTTTAATTGTCTTTTTTTTTTTATTTGTTAGTTGTTTTCCTTACTTTTTCTTTTATCTTTTTTTTCCTTCCCTTAACTTTTATCTCCATAGTTTTCCTCTGGCTAAAATATCTTTCACTCAGCATTATTTTTTAAAAAATTAAAAAAAAAGAGAGAGAGAGGCAAAACAATTGCAACACTGCCTTTTTAAGCGTTGCAAATTGTCCAATTATGCAGGATATTCCCATGTTCCTAATGACCCCCCAAAACTTGTCTTCTGCATGACCCAAAGAGTTTGAGAGCTGGGCGAGGCTCGGTTGGTGACAGGAACAGAATTAAACAGAAGTCAAACCACTAAACTGTTCGTTAAGAAGAGGACATTTGACAGCTTAGCAGAACTAAGAAAAGGGCGGGGAAGAATTAGATGATAAAAGAGATTTTAAGAAGCTTGTTTGAGGCTTACAGGAAATCGGGAATTAAGAACACGGCGTTATCTCCGATCCTTTTGTTCTGGAATTATTCTGCAAGAAACACATTGTTTGAAAAAGAGATGTGAGATCTTTATCTGGGTTTGGAGCTCTTGATCCTTTTTTGTTTTTCTTTCCTTCTTAAATTCACACACACCGCTTCGGCACGTTTTGTGGCTGAAAAAACGTTGTCGATTTTCCAAAAGTAGAAGAGAACAGGGTAACAGAGTTGGAAGGGATCTCGGAAGTCTTCTAGTCCAACTCAGAAGGAAACCCTATTCCATTTTGGACAAACGGTTGTCTGAAAGTTTTGGGGTTCTTCTGAACAAGTGCTCATTCACAGCAGAATCCATTTCACACCTGGGTTGCGGTTGAAGGATGTAATCTTCTTTAATCCACCCCTTGAAAAGAGATCTTTTTGCAAACCTCAAAGGTTGGGGTGTATACTAAGTGTGGGTGGTTGACACAGGTGTTCAGTTGACTTGAAATGCAAATAATTAGCTTTTTGGTGCCTTGTATTTATCTTGAGATGGTTTGGACAGGTCTCCACAGGAAGGAATTCACTTTCACCCCTTTTTGATAAGGCAGATTTGAGCAATTCCGTCTCGTCTCAGATTCAGTGTCCCATAATGACCTCCAGGTTGTTCTTCTCGGCTTCTGGGGTCAAAATGGACAGACACTGCCGAGGTGGTCCATAGCACCATTGGTGGTCACTGCTTCCAGGAAAATCCCAAAATGAAGTAACCATTCACAAGAATTTTGGCTCACGGGACCTTCAAACCCATCTTCCTATTTCCCACAGTTTCATGGAAGCCTACTTAATTGAGAAAAGTCTTTGTTATATATATCAAAAATTCTGCCCTCAATTTGATCACTTTGCTGATTTTTTATCAGTTCCCTCTTCCCCCTTTTAGGTATCATCTCATGATTCCTTCTGCTGTTTTCTGAAAAAAGTAGGACTATAAAGGGAATAACAGAACCACAGAGTTGGAAGGGACCTTGGAGGTCTTCTAGTCCAACCCCCTGTTCAAGCAGGAACAGGGGTCACCAAGGAACACTTCAAGCTGATTAGATACTATCTTCTCATAAACGTTGCCTTGTCCTTTAATTACAAACACACCGCGATATTTCCTAGCTTTTGCCAAACAACACAACAGTTTTACAGTTTTGGTGAACCCCTTAGTCAAATCAAATGAAAATTTTATTATTAGGTTCCTACCTAGGCCAGAAAACGCTGCCATACAAATGCATAAACCTTTCATTCATCAATCTGAAAAAGTAGATATAAAGTAGATATGACATGCGATAAAATTACAAAAAGGAAACACCTCTTTATAATGTTAACGCCATTCGGGGGAATCCTCGGAGGGAAAGGATAACTATCGAAAACACAGAACTGGGAAAAATCTGTGCGATGGATTATTTTGTCCGACCGATGTAAAGGAGAAAAACAACAGAAGGGGGGGGAAAAATTACACTGAACCAGAACGAGTTCGAAGAAAGTTTTAATGCGAGAAACAAATATTTATTTTGCCTCCAGGATTCTAGTATTCTCAGAAAGGATCTGTTGTCTTAGTATCTTTCCTTCAGCCCATTATTTGTAATCGGATCGAATCTACAGTTGTGAACTTCCGTGTTGTGAGTCGGATTTTCCAAAACTAGCTGAGGCAGGAAGCACCCGTAATTGTATGTCTCAGGACACCTGACGGTGAAGCCACAAATGTATTCAATAATAAATATTAAATGGAGAAGCACAAGATTCCAGTCCTCTTTGTCAGAGTTTTCATGAGAATTTCATGGGTCATCAATGACACTTAATTAATATGTCACCCTACAATGCAGCACCCATCCCTTGTGCTACTTAACCACTTAAACAATCAAGAGCCCAAAAAATGTGTATGAATTTCCATCTTAATGGATCTTGCTCATAGCAATGAGCTTCAAGGCATTGGGCTTGACGCGAACTTACGTTCCTTTCCTCCTAAATAAATAAACTAAATATTTTTGGTCAGATTCTTAGGACTCTAATGATGAAACGGGCATTTCTTCCTAATTTAATAAAGTCTTTTTTTTTTCCTCCTAAGAAAATGGTCTGATTCAGGGGTCGGCAACCTTAAACACTCGAAGAGCCGCAAAAGTCCTAACCGGAAACCCCCGTTCAATTCTGGAGCCGACCGGAAGTCCGGTTCCCCCACCATAGAGTCTCTTCCTAGCATGGCATCCTTTTTCCTCTACATGTCCTAACCGAAAACCCTATCAATTGTGGAGCTGACTGGCAATAGGGAGCCACAGCAGAGGGATGAAAGAGCCACATGTGGCTCCAGAGCCACGGATTGCCGACTCCTTGATGAAGGCATAGGACACATTTAGAACAAAATTGTAGAATGTCGGGAAATGTTGTGGCTTTCCAAAATGAACAGAGCCCAAACTTTGGGAAGAGTTGACAACTATCTCGGGTCTTCTTGGAATCCAAACATTTAAAAATTGGGGAAGGGATGCCACTATCTCACCATGTGGGCAGAAGCTCTCATTCCTTTGTGGCATCTTCTGAACCGCATTTTCCCTCCTGATACTGAATAAACATAGTAACAAATTAATAGATCAGGAGATAAATGTTGTTTTTTTCTCTCTCTCTCTCTCTTTTTTTTTTTGACTCCTCCAGAATCAGAGGAACGAGTTTCTTTTAATTTGCTTGTTGCCAGCAGCATTTAAACAAAAAATTTTAATGATAACTTGAGGAGAACAGTTGCAGGAAAATCTGTGGGACTGGAGCTTTTTCCGCATTGTGTGGTATCACCACGAGGCTTGGAAGAAGAGTATATAAGTGGACTCCTTGTGTTTGGAGTTTCAAAGCATCAGACGTTTCTCTCCTTCATCTTGAGAAGATTAGAAGGTAATACCACTTTTTTATCTGGGGATCAGTCTAGTTCTCCATGTCCATATTTTGCGGATGTGGAGATGTTCTAAAACAGGGATTTTGTGGCTATGCTCAATGGGCAGCGATGGTTGTGTGAGAAGTTGAAGATCTTCTCAAGAGATCTTCAGACAGGATGGTCATCTTGAGCCAAAGCTCTTGACCAGGGCTTTGAACAGCCCTGTTCAAGGAGATTTAGATCATTAATTTGGATGGTGACAATCATAGATCATTAAGTGGAAAGAAGCTTTGTATGTTAGTTTGGTGGTTAACCAAATAACTTCCCATGTTTTGATGTTTGTGAGCATCTACCCAAGAATCAACTGGAGGTAAGTCTTGTTCTTAACATCTAAATTTGTAATAGTTCAGGTTTTCAAGTTTTGTGAAGGAACTGTGAAAAGAGGAGTTTTTGAGGGGCCAAATTTGAGCCTGCTCTTTCTCCTTCTAGAAGCAACATCACCTTTTGATGTCTCCTGTCTATTTCCCTCTCCGAGGCCCAGTAAACATGTGGGCATGGGAAAAACCAACATCTTGTAGTAAATCTGTAGGTTCAGTTTGTTTCATTTGTCTACCTTTGAGGAAAAGTAGCAATTTGTTGTGTTGTCTAGTGGTTGGTGAACCATATTTTGAACAACAATATTGAACCATAGTTAGAAGGCTCTTCCATATTGGTGGATAAGGCTGTGGCCTCCAATTTTGACTACCAAAATGGACATTGTGGGTTCTCTGTATCTCACAAAATCCAAATTGGGTCAAACTGGAAAAAAAGAGAGTTGCACAAAAAGAGTGTAGAAAGATTGAGTCCTCCAACCTTCTTCGTCTAGACCAAATGTTAGGAAAAGCACTGGAATATGCTGGCATTTGGCCTGATGGAAAGGTCTTCAAAATCTGTGGGCATCTCAACTTCTCAAGCCAAGTTGGGTGTTCTTCTCACTGACCCACACATTGTCCTTGTTATCAGGAACTGGTGAATTATTAGCCCAAACCTGAAAACAATTTGTGATTCAGTTGGAACAATCATTGGGATTGACTTGAATGAGCCACTGGGTTCAAGGAATCAATCCACTTGATCCTAATTTGCCATTCAGTTCCATGGCTCTATTTCCTTCAAGGAGATCACCCCAAGAGCTGATCTCGATCCGATTCCAATTGGTGAGAATGTTGACCAAGAATGAAATTGCTCCCCACGATCAGGTTGGTTCTGGCTTGTTAATTCCTTTCTCCAAAGGTTGGCTCTTCGTGATCTCTGCAAAACAAAGGGTGGATCCTTTTTAGCTTCATCTCTCTCTTTCTTTTCCCCTCTTAGGATCTGCAAGATGAATTCCGAATACCTGTTCCCGGAGTTCTTTGAAGAGGCTGAGCCTTCCTTCTTTGATGCTATTGAAGATCTCTCAATGCATACCAAAGGGGGTGTCTATTGCCCCAGGCCATATCCTCCTTATAAATACAGACCACGCTACTGCCGCCCCAAATATCCCTGTCTACCTCCTTGTCCACCTCCTAGACCTCAGTGTCCAACTCCCTGCTATCCTTTGTATCCTCTGCCCCAATGGCCCAGACCATGTTACCCCTCCTACCCATGCCAACGCTACCCACCTCAATGGCTCTACCCCAAACCCTGTGGCCCCCAGAAACCCTATTACCCTTACTGTCCTCCCTACTGGGGGCGCCCATGCTACCCCAAATGCCTGCCACAATACCCATGTGACTTCCTTGAGATCTACTAGAGAAGAAGTCACTCCTCTTCTACCGTAGCAACGCCTTTGCCTCAGATTTGTCCTGCCAAACTCTTTCCTCGGTTGAATGTCTTGACCTCGGTTCCTGGGTACCTTCTGGATTTTCCACCCCCCAAGTTCTATTTCTGCTTGCATTTTTGTTTTTTTTGTTTTTTTTTTCTTTCAAGGCCGACCATGAGGTCGCTGTGCCACCTCAGGGCCACCAAGAGTCCCCATAAGGTGGAGCTGCATTAGGTTTCTGCCGATTGAAGGACTGGGTATGTTCAGGCATGGTTTGAGAAAAGAGGAGAAGGAGAAGGAGTTGAAGGGAGAAGAAGAGGAAGAGAAGAAAGAACGTGATTCGGGATCATCTCATCCAAGAAAGAACTCAAAGGACTCCAAAGATGACAGAGGACTGAGAAACCAAGAAATTGCTTGTTTGAAGCATCCATGCCCAACGAATGAGAAGAGACTATTTGGGAGTGGGGGAATCACATTTATTTTAAAACCTATTTTTTTAACTCATTGTACGCAGTGGCTCAGTAGCTAAGACACTGAGCTTGTCGATTGAAAGGTCGACAGTTCAGCGGTTCGAATCCCTAGTGCCGCGTAACGGGGTGAGCTCCCGTGACTTGTCCCAGCTTCTGCCAACCTAGCAGTTCGAAAGCAAGTAGAAAAATAGGGACCACCTTTGGTAGGAAGGTAACAGCGTTCCATTCCTATTCTAGGAGGGAGTTTGATTTCTCATGTCTTCTGAATGCTGGGACTGAATTTGTGACTCTCATGGCCTCTTTTTGCACGTTACCCCTGCTAAATATATCTGAAAAACCAACTATCTGCTCTTCAAAGGTGTCCTTTGTCATCAATAAATCTGCTTTTCTCTGCATAAACCTTCTTGTCCAATGTCTTCAGTTCATTATGTTCCTCAACCCTCTTCTCAAGAGATCAAAAGGCCCAACAAAGACCTGGATTGGTTCTATTTCCTTCCAGAAGTGTTTAGATGACATTCATTTACAACCAGAGCATAAAATGTTGAGTTCCTTCAATCTTCGGTTACTAGGATGACGTTCTGCCCTCCGAGAATTAGGTCAGCTCTCTCACCACTTATGAAAAACCCTTCATAGGTTTGTCTGCTTTCCATGACACCTTGGAAGGCTTCTGAAATGCCAGCTGTTGAGTTATTTTTCACTGATATTTAAATTGAGTTGAGCTTGGAGTCTCTGGGCGCTTCCATGGGATGCTACCCAGTTTCACTCAAATCAGACCAAATAACTGTATTGTGGTCATTAACCAACAGAAGCCCAGTTTAATTAATAAGTATGTAAGGGGAAGTTTCCTATGAGACTTGATGGCTTCATGGGTGCTTTCGGGAAGTTTGTTGGACAGTACTCCATTTCCTGGTCTAATCTAGAACCTGGAGTTTTCAATAACACATTAACCAGATCTGATTCTCAGATCAAACAAGCCCACCATCTTCTGTGAATAAGAAGAAATGGACTAGGTTTTGAATGGTTGGGAGGAGATAAAGTCCATAATGAATTGGGAGTTCTAGATCAACCTTGCAAGATGTAGGTTCTCTAGGCTGGAGAACCTCTTTCAGACTGTTGGAGACTCTTAAGGGGGACATCCATTCCTCAAAGGACTTCTTTAATGGACCAAATAGTTGCAAACACCTCCTTTCCCAGGAGGTAAACAAGCTATGATGCTTTCCACCATCACCCCTTTTGCTTCACGAAGATGTTCTTCACCCAACTAATGCCCCCTTTCAGGTTATCTTTTCAGTTCCTATTGAATTACTCTTGACCTTCAAAGGTTCTCCTTGACCAGGGTGAGAACAGCAAACCCCCAAGTGAGAGAGGTGCTCCTTATTGATATCTCCTGCCCTATAATTGACCCACCACACCTTACAAAGAGCTTTTCAGGAAAATCACAGAAGGTCCAAGGATGCATATTGTAAATGTTTATTGCAGTAAAATAAATTAAGAAGTAGCCACTGATACTTCAGCCTAGACAATTAAGGACTAACAAAATGAATTGACAGAAGAAAGAAAAACAGCTTGAGGAGGAGAAATGGCAGATCTTTTCAATTCTGGAAGCCCCCCTCCCCAGTTCCTTCTGGTTAAGATTGCAGAAGAGATGAGACAGATGGAAGCCAAGAGATGAGATGGAAGTGTGGGAGATGCAGGCGCTGGGGTACATCCAGGGCTTTGTTCCTCCGACCACTGATGATCCATGTAGATGTTTCCATAACGTGATCAGCTTCTTATTGCTGGTACGATTTGGGTTTTTGAGGGCAAGGATGGCAAGAAAGACACCCAGGATTCTGAGGGGAAGAACAAGGCTGGGGAGACAGACAGCAAGAACTATGCGTTTCTGGAGGCTTCACAAGACAACTGTTTTTGGGAAGACATGATTTCTGAGGTTCTTGGGGTGTTGAGAAGACGCCACATTGCTTTTTCTGCTGTTGGTCCTTAGAAGACATCTTTCTAGGGTTTAACAGAGAGGAACACATTTTTAGTGGCTGGTTTTTAAAGGTCTCTGTAACTCACCTCATCTCAGCTTGAAGATCGACCTGGAGGACTTCAAATACAAATATGAGGAGGTTGATAGGTCAAAGGTGGAGATACTTGAGGAATGATAACTCATAGCAGATCAAATTCACTCTCTAAACTGGGGGTGTACAACCAGTAGCTCTAAGGCTTCCCCTTCCCTCCCCTTCTTTTCTTCTGACCATCCATCAACGCAAAGAACTGACTCTAACCTGTTGGTTGAGGAACACAGAAAATGAGGACGCTTAACCTGATTATTGAATCACCCTGTTTACGTAGTCCAGAGATCTTCAAACTTGGCAGCTTTAAGACTTGTGGACTTCAACTCCCAGAATTGAAGTCCACAAGCCTTAAAGCTGCCAAGTTTGATGTAGTCCATTGAATCATGACATAGGAAGACAGTTGAAGACAGAGAGGTTCAAGAAAGAAGAATGAAGGGAAAATACAATCTGATCTTAGCAAAAGGATCTAGGTTAGTCTTGGTTCTTCGGTCTTCTGAACCTTCTAAAGAGGTTGAAACCATAATACGTCTAGCTGGGATTCTCAAACTATTCTCGTTGAAAAAGATTAGATGCCCCTGACCAGCAGAAGATCTCTGAGATATCTGGATATACTTTCTCATCATTAGCTGAAGATAAATGGGTACCAAACCAGAGACCATCCCCATTCAAAGATGCAGCCTAGACAAGAAGAGAACTTACCAGGTTCACCTGCACTCACCGGGTCTGCAAAGCGATATCTGATTGATTGAGGATGACTAGAAGCTTATGACTTTTATAGAGGACCAGAAAACTTGATTTGTAGGAAATAAATACCAAAGGAAGTAGATAAGAAAGAAGCTAGAAGAATCATTGTATTGAGTCAGCTCCATAACTTGTTTGATCTCCTTCTTTACATAATATATTCCAATTTGGTCTCCGTGTTTCTCCACCCTTCCTGGTCTATGAATATGGACCCTGTCCCTGTTCCTTCTACTTCCCTTGAAGTCAGATTTTTTACACACAAATTGGAGGAGTAAATTAGGTTGCCAAAGCAGATTGGTTTTTAATTTGGCCTAGCTAAGAGGAATGGCATTGCATGGAACATCTGGATGGCTGGACATGAAATCTTTTCCACTTCTGGTTGGCCAAATGTGGAAGTCCCTTCCATCTTGGACACCCGAGGACTAGACTCTCTGCCATTCAACTTCTCTTCCCCCAAAAAACCAGTCAAGAGTGACATCTGGTCCCTGAAAAAGTGTCTATGCTTGGGACCACAATCAGAACATCTGGACAGTCAGAAGAAAGTGGTTCTTTTCTGCCAGGTCCTGCCTCAGATGTCCAGAACTCTATTTTTGATGGACACCTTAATGTCCATGACTCTATTTTTGATGGACTCCTTATATCCCCACATGACTCTATTTTTGATGGACACCTCAATATGCATGACTCAATTTTTGATGGACATCTCAGATGTCCATGACTCTTATTTTGGATGGACACCAGACGTGAAGCCCCCTCCTCTTAAAAATGACAAAGATGGTCCATTGCTCCTCCAACCATAATTACTTTTTTGCCCTTGTACCTATCCTGTCTCAAAGAAGGGGGGAGAAAGCATGAAATGATTTCCTTAATAAATTTTGTTGTTGTTAGTTGCGAAGTCATGTCCAACCCATTGCGACCGCATGGACAACGATCCTCCAGGCCTACCATCTTCTGGAGTCCATTTAAGATCATGCCTACTGCTTCAGTGACTCTATCTAGCCACCTCATTCTCTGCCGTCCCCTTCTTCTTCTTTTGCCCTCCATCGTTCCCAGCATTCGGCTCTTCCCCAGGGAGTCCTTCCTTCTCATTAGGTGGCCAAAGTATTTGAGTTTCCTCTTCAGGATCTGGCCTTCTAAGGAGCAGTCAGGGTTGATCTCCTCTAAGACTGACCAGTTGGATGGCCTTGCAGTCTGAGGGACTCGCAGGAGTCTTCTCCAGCACCAGAGTTCAAAGGCCTCCATTCTTTGGCACTCTGCCTTCCTTAAGGTCCAACTTTCACAGCCATCCATTGCAACTGGGAAGACCATCGCCTTGACTATAGGCACTTTTGTTGGCAGGGTGATGTCTCTGCTTTTTAGTTAGCTATCTAGATTTGCCATAGCTTTCCTCCCCAGGAGCAAACATCTTTTAATTTCATGACTTCAGTCCCCATCTCCGGTGATCTTGGAGCCCAGGAAAATAAAATCTGACACTCCCTCCATTTCTTCCCCATCTATTTGCCAGGATCCTTAATAAATAAATCATAATAAATAAATTAAAAATCGTATCTCCACAGAATGCTATCTCAGGCTAAATAAAAATGCAATTAGCCTTCTATCAACCGTGGGACCTCCCACGGGATTGCTCTGGTTCATTAAAATCTAGCTTTGCAAAGGGAATCTCATTCTGATGACCTACCCAGATGAGGCATTTAGTTTTGAAAATAAGACCAGATCAGATGTTGTCTCCCGATTTGCAAACCAAAGACAGATAGGTTTGCTGAAACGGTTGTGCATCTCACTAACTGTTTCCTGTCTTGAGTGACTTGATTGCACAGGGTCAGCTATATTCTGTATGTATCTGTCTGGGTGTGTGTGAGAGAGAAAAAGAGAGAATCTCTAGAAGGAAAATATAATTAAATTAATTTGAACATCCAATCTGGACATCGCCCCCTTCCTTCCTTCCTTCCTTCCTTCCTTCCTTCCTTCCTTCCTCCCTTCCTTCCTTCCTTCCTTCCTTCTTTCCTTCCTTCCTTCCTTCCTTCCTTCCTTCCTTCCTTCCTTTCTTTCTTTCTTTCTTTCTTTCTTTCTTTCTTTCTTTCTTCCTTCCTTCCTTCCTTCCTTCCTTCCTTTCTTTCTTTCTTTCTTTCTTTCTTTCTTTCTTTCTTTTGAGTTGTGTTCTGATTTTCTGGTTGATTTCCTGATGATTCTGTGGGTGTGGCTTGGTGGGCGTGGCAGGGGAAGGATACTGTAAAATCTCCATTCCCACCCCACTCCAGGGGAAGGTTACTGCAAAATCCCCATTTCCTCCTGATCAGCTGGGACTCCGGAGGCAGAGAATAGATGGGGGTGGGGCCAGTAAGAATTTCAGTACCAGTTCTCCGAACTACTCAAAGTTTCCGCTACCGGTTCTCCAGAACTGGTCAGAACCTGCTGAAACCCACCTCTGATCTGTACATGCGTGCGACATCAAACAACATGGCAATTCAGTCATGCACGCCGTCCGCATATACATGTGGCATCAAAAACACAGCAATATAGGATGCGATCGCACCGGGGTGGGTGGGCGGGGCCAGGCCCACCCCACCCGCAGTTCGGCACTACCAGTTCACACAAACCGGTCCGAAGCGGCTGAATACCACCTCTGTTCCTGACACAGGAACAAATCATGCTAGTGTGCAAAATCCAGGTTTTTTTTCTGTAACCAGTTTCATGCAAAAGGGACTGGCGAGTTGGCGGATGGGCCACTAGGTGGCAGTGCAGCGCCAAATAATAACCTAGAACAAGGCGGAAAATGCTAGTTAGTTTGCTACAGAAACTGAGGCCAACATTAAGCAAGGTTTAACCTGGGATGTAGACTGCAGCTGTAGGCAAGGAAGTAGCTGCAGAAAGAGAGAGGGAGAGAGGGAAAAAGAAAGAAAAAGTGGGGGGGGAGAGAGAGAGAGAGAGAGAGAGAGAAAGAGAGAAAAGAAAGAAAGAAAGAAAGAAAGAAAGAAAGAAAGAAAGAAAGAAAGAAAGAAAGAAAGAAAGAGGAAGAAGGGGAGGGAGGGAGGGAGGAAGGAATGAAGGGAGGGAGGGAGGGAGGAAGGAAGGAAGGAAGGAAGGAAGGAAGGAAGGAAGGAAGGAAGGAGGAGTGGGAGGGAGGGAGGGAGGGGGAGGGAGGAAGGAAGGAAGAGGGAGGGGGAGGGAGGGAGAGGAAGGAAGGAAGGAAGGAAGGAAGGAAGGAAGGAAGGAAGGAAGGAGCAGAAAGAGAAAGAAATAATTTGTGTCTTGCAAGTTTGCAATCTACGCAGGGTCCTTTTTCCAAAAATTGCAGATATTTGAACCCTGTGCCTAGGGAAATAGATCAAATTTCCTGTACAGTGTTGAACTCCATAGAGTAGCAGGATTGGGGGTGGGGGGGAGAGAAGGTTGGGCTGGATGAATCTGAACCCCAAAAGTTGATCATGTAAGAGTACGTGATAGGGTGGGACTTGAAATAATTCAGCTCAGATTCTTACTTGATTGTGGAATATGGACACTGTTTCTCCCCCCCCTCCAAGCCTCCCTCGCAGGGTTGTTTTGAGGAACGATGTAGGGCCACGGAGGCCACAGGTGGAAAGGTAGGAGAGGAAAGTCATTGTGAATGATTTAAACATACATCGAAGAGGGAAGGAAAACAAAGCAAAGTTTATTCGATACAACTTCACACACAAAGCCAGCAGAGGAGAGAAGGGGAGAGAAGGTTCCTCAGTGTTCACTTAATGACCACTGGGGGGGGGAAAGGTCATAAAATTATAAAAACTAGGACTGTTGTGAGTTACAACCGTGATGGGCAGACTCCATTACGGTCGTAACTCAAGGACTACCTGTACTAGAAGACGGAACGAAATGGCAGTTTGCCAAAGTTAATCCCTCATACGTTTCAAAAACTTGAAAAATCTGAAGCAGAAGTGTCACGTTTTGAATCTCAATTCCCAGCATTGAATCTTCATTACGTACTTTTCCTGTGTTGTTTGTTTCTTCTGCGTTCTGCATGTTGTTCTGCGTTCTGCATGTTGTTCTACATTCTGCATGTTGTTCTGTATTCTGCCATCTGCATTCTGCATGTTGTTCTGCATTCTGCATGTTGTTCTGCGTTCTGCATGTTGTTCTACACTCTGCAAGTTGTTCTGCGTTCTGCATGTTCTGTGTTCAGTAGGTTGTTCTGCATTCTGCATGTTGTTCTGTATTCTGCCATCTGCATTCTGCATATTGTTCTGGATTCTGCATGTTGTTCTGTGTTCAGTAGGTTATTCTGCATTCTGCATGTTGTTCTGTATTCTACCATCTGCATTCTGCATGTTGTTCTGTGTTCGGCGGGTTGTTCTGCATTCTGCATGTTGTTCTGTGTTCAGCAGGTTGTTCTGCATTCTGTACGTTGTTCTGCGTTGCGCAGAAATGGAACGTGTTAACAGATCGTGTTTCTTTTTTGCCCTTGACTCCACAAGAGCAGATTTATGCGGTTATTCTGGAGAGTCCAACAACCTGAGTTTCATCCCCCAAAGAGAAAATATATAGAATACGATGTGTTAATGTAGGTAGGAGGAAAAAATTAAGTGCAAGAACGTAGCTGAAAGAAAAGACACCACGCATGACCAGGAGAAAGAAAGCAATTGGCTTTAGGAGTTCAAAGCCAGATTGCACAACGGACGCCACGCACAGCACTTCAGTTGCAGCATGGTTTGCAACAGCATGTACAAGTGCAGCACGGAGCGGGGGATGCAGATGGGGCACAGGGAGCAGCGCAGGTGGACACCGGCATCAGCACAATCCGACCACAGCAGCACTGGCTAAGTTGGATAGGGATACAGGTGTAAGTTTGGGTCTGGCACGGTTCGGGGGCAGGAGCACAGGTCTGGCACGGCACCACACAGATGCTGGCTTGACACGGCGTTGCAGAGGACTGGCAAGGATCGTCGCTCTTTGTGGCTTGACACGGCTTTGTACAATCGCAGCTCTGGGTGGGCACGACGCAGGCAGACGTTTGGCAAGAACAGGTGGGTTTTGACTCGCACGAGCTGACGCAGACAACCGGGCAGCAACTGCTACACGGCGAGGTGCACTTAGCCGCCGGGGCCTTGGTATCGGTGCATGATTTTTGGCAGGAGGAGGAGCTCTTGACCACTTTCACGGGCTCAGATACACAAATGCAGGAGCTGGGTGGGCTGCATGGCGTCTGAGCAGGAGCGGATTTTACACAAACGGCAGGGCACGAACACGGCTGTTTGCACTGGTACGACATTAGTTGACCTGCAAGATGGAGGGCAGGAAAAAGAAATGTGAGGATGATTAATGTTCACTGCTTTAAGAAGGAGCAACGTAAAGCATGTGGTCGGACTTTGTCATATCTCATTTCCTTTAGAAACCTTTACCTAACTCCCTTAAGAGCTGTGGTGGCGCGGTGGTTAGAATGCAGTACTGCAGGCTGCTTCTGCTGACTGCCGGCTGCCTGCAATTTGGCCGTTCGAATCTCACCAGGCTCAAAGTTGACTCAGCCTTCCATCCTTCCGAGGTCGGTAAAATGAGGGCCCAGATTGTTGGGGGCAAGAGGCTGACTCTGTAAACCGCTTAGAGAAGGCTGGAAAGCACTGTAAAGTGATGTATATGTCTAAGTGCTATTGCTATTAAATATCATTTTCCCCCTGGTTTTCAAATTCATTCCAGGAAAGCTTGAAAAGCTTTGAACAATTTGTGTCTGAGTAGTAAAGTTTTTTTCTTTACTCTCTGCAGCATCTTTTCCTCTCATTTCCATCTTTTATTAATATATATATATATATATATTGCTGCTGCCCGAATCTGACAAGACTCTTTGGCCATTTCTGTAAGATCTTCCATCTTCACTATTCTAGATCTCATGGAGGACTAAATGTAGAAGGACGGGGTTCATGTTTAGCAAAATGTGGGGTGCATAATAGTCTCACAGCTCTTCTTAACTTTAAAATAACAAGGTTTGGAGGGAGACTGAAATTGTTCAGGAATTTTAGGGGACAGAAAAGGGAATAAAATAAACTGGTGCTCCAGGGGAAGTGGGTTTGATCATCACTCTATCCTGGGGGAGTACAATTTGAATTTGACACCTTAGAAATGATAAATCAATAATAAATAGTTAACTTCTCCATGGACTTTGTGACTGTCCTTTGGGAGAAAGCATCCAACTATCCACTTTCTCTTCCCCAGGGAATAATATTTGCAGCTCCTTAGGAGTCAATTCAACTTCTAAAGATTTAAAGGATTGAATGCAAATCTTGATTTCCTTTTTTGTTAAAAAGCTTCACAATCAGACAAACAAAAGCTCAGGATATCACCACCTCCAAAACGTTTCTCTGAAATTAGCAAGGATCCTAAGGAGGACCATTGACCTTGTCATCCCCCCCCATCCACCTAATGTTGGATGTTCTCTAGATGGTCCTCAGAACCAAGGAAGACCATTTCAATGGGTCTTCATCCAAACATAATCCCTCCCAAACTCCAGAAAGCCACTCCAAACTCAACCATGACCCATCTCTCACCATCAATGGTTTGGAGATACCCACCCAGGATCATGAGAAGGATTCAACAGTGGAGGACCATCTCCCATGTCCCACCACCCACCTAATGTTGGACATCCTCAGAACCAAGGAAGACCAAGGAACGGGTCTTCATCCAAACAGTGGAAGACCATCTCTCATATCCCACCATCCACCTAAGGTTGGACATCCTCAGAACCAAGGAAGACCAAGGAACGGGTCTTCATCCAAACAGTGGAAGACCATCTCTCATATCCCACCATCCACCTAAGGTTGGACATCCTCAGAACCAAGGAAGACCAAGGAACGGGTCTTCATCCAAACAGTGGAAGACCATCTCTCATATCCCACCACCCACCTAAGGTTGGACATCCTCAGAACCAAGGAAGACCAAGGAACGGGTCTTCATCCAAACAGTGGAGGACCATCTCTCATATCCCACCACCCACCTAAGGTTGGACATCCTCAGAACCAAGGAAGACCAAGGAACGGGTCTTCATCCAAACCGAATCCCTCCCAAACTCCAGAAGGCCACTCAAAACTCAACCACGCCCAACCTCTCACCATCAACGAATTGGAGAATACTCACCTAGGATCACAAGAAGGATTCAACAGACAAAGAGTCAAGTTTCTGAGCGACCTGGAGAGATAGAAACACTTTTTATACCGTTCTCATAAGCTGGGTTCCGGAAATGAAACAGCCCAAGGATACCCAAAACCTAACATTAAATATTCGACACGATTCTAAGCAATAATCTTTAAAATTACTCTGGCTTCATTATCTTTAATGGAAATACACTACTGTATCAAGATAGGAAGTGCCGGTGACTCTGAGAAGGAGGCATTTTCCCACCCTAAATATGGTAGAAATAAAAGGTGATCTCATTCGAGGTCAAAAAATATCCAGGAATGATTAAGCCAGAGGGGCAAGTTGACTTAAGCTTTAAACAATGTTTAAACAATAAGAAAAAGATCTCACCTCGTCTGGTATGTATCACGAACTGGTGATTATCTCTTCAGCTTTCCAGTCCCTTGAAACCATCTTTAAAAAAAAACAATAAAAATAAGGTGGAAACATTTGAGCCTTTCCTTTATTATTATGAGATGCCAGCGCTAACAGGATGTTGGCTAGACCTGTGAGCATCAAGGACAGGTGTAAATCGCCTTTTTTTTAAAAAAAAATAATTTTATTAAACGTTAAAACTGAATAGATTAATACAAACTATTAAAAAAAATAGAAAGTGTGGGGAAAAAGGGGAAATGCATAAAAAGAAGAAAGAAAGAAGAATATAGTAAAAGAAAGAAATACATAAAGAAATGACTTCCTCTTTCATTACATTTTAATGGATTTTAGTAATTTATCACCTTCTCTTAAAATATAACAAAGGATCTCTTCTACCGATAGTCCATCTCTTATTTATAAACCAATTCTTAAAGCTCATTGATCAGCAAAAGTCCTTTAAGCGTAATAATAAGATATCTATTTTAATAATAAGATATCTATTTTAACTTTGGTCAAATAAACCCACTTTGTATTCCTTCCTTTTAACAGACTCTTCTAAGGGTCTGAAAAGCACGCATCAGAATTAATCAGAATTTCCCTTGTGATTCCATATATATATATATGCAACAATTGACACACACACACAAATGAGACTGTTGGTTTTCTGTGGGTCTGCATTTTATAGGTCCTCATCACTGCAAAGAAGCCTGATACTGCGATTTTTAATGCTATTAAAATCACATTGCTGTCCATTTTTCTCTGGATTTATTGTCCTGTTTTTTTAACTTTGTTTCATACGGAGCATTTGAGCTCCATCTGCTGTTGCAAAGTAGCAAAATCCCTCTGCTTCCTTCCTTATTATTCATCACACGTCTCAGGAACTCATCCCCAATTCTTAGCAAGTTCTCCAAGCCCCACCCTGAACTTTTTCTGTTGGCTTACAAATTTATGACCCTAATAAAAAACTGGAAATTAAAAAAAATGGGTTTATATGATGCCAAATGTTCTTGGGAAAAAACTAACGGCTGTAATTTTGTACAATTGTGTGGTTTTCCTGCCAGAAATTAATTTCATTTCTAGGACTTCTAACAAGATTGATTTTTTTTCCCCCAACAGGGTGGTATTTTAGTTGAATTTGATGGACTCCTCCAAAAGTTAAATACCTTTGCATCAGGCAATAGGCCAGCTAAATTGGCATTTCATTAAAATCAGTGTGATGCCTTCCAAGTGTCATTTCCACAATTGGTCAGGTGGAAGCAGAGAACATAAGATACATGACTTCTCATCACAAGGCAACCCTCACTAACCCAGAGACAGCCCACACCCTATCAAATTAGAAGCTTTCCATCTGAAATATCAAGGTGAAGGTGGAAATTAGAGGAGTCGACCAGGTAACCATGTATATTGACTTTTTCACCCTACGGTGCTGTCTTCCTAGAAGCTAAGAAGAACCCATAAAAGAAGCTTACTTGAAAAAGCCTTCAGCTTCTGCCTTTGGTCTCCAGAAGGAACATTCAACGTAGTAAGTATCACAATTCTGGACTTCTTCTTCCACTTTCTCGTTGGCTTCTATCAAGGTTTCAGAAGGGGGTTTCTAAACTTCATCCAGGGTTTCAACATAATGTCGTTGGTGGTGGAATTCCATCCACCGGAATTTTTCTGGTGACTTCGGCTGGGCGTTCTTCAAATTCTTTCATCCACCTGCTTTGGGAGAGCTCAGGAGCAGAGTTTGGGGTCCTTCCTAGCTGGCACGGGCTTGATTTATTTCACTGCTTCTTCCCAGGTGAAAAGAGACTAAGAGCTGCTGGAAATTTACCGCTCGAGCAGGGACAGGCTCCATCTAGGAGCTTGGGTGTCTAAAAGACATAGCACGAAAGGAAAGATGGATATGGAGGGAAGAGGAAAATGTTATTCTAATCTCTGGCTGGAGCAGGGAGAACACAAGCCACAAGATCAGGAGGTGGTTTTCTCAGTGGTCGACAGCTTTTTCTCGGTTCTTCTCTATCTGCAATCCTCTGTTGGGCTTTGGCGTCAAAATCACCCTCAAGTTTCCTTTTCCAACTTTTAAAAAGGTTGTTTGGGAAGGGGGCATTGGAAGGAGGCACTTTTGAGCTGACTTCATTATTGCAAAGTGGCAAATTGTGGCAGGGGTCTCTCTCTCTCTCTCTCTCTCTTTCTTTCTCTCTTTCTGTCTGTCTCTCTTTCTCTCTGTCTCTGTTTCTGTCTCTCTTTCTCTCTGTCTCTGTTTCTGTCTCTCTTTCTCTCTCTCTCTCTCTCTTTCTCTCTCTCTCTCTCTTTCTCTCTCTCTCTCTTCTCTCTCTCTCTCTCTCTCTCTCTCTCTCTCTCGTATTCTGTTTTTTCCCTAGCTGTTTCCAACATGAGTGGGGTGTTGGGTTGGAGGGCTCTTCTGAACATATTAGGATATTTTGATAGAAGGAAGATGCCCCTATGGGTTTAAAGAAAACCCCCTCCAAAAAAAAAAGAGGGGACATACCAAAGAGAAAAGATTGCAAGGATAGGTCCCCATTGCTTGCCATTTCTCCTTGCAGCAGCTTGTGGGGCGTGGGGGACAGTGAAAACGCAGACGGAAACGTCTAAGATCTTGGAAAGCGACTTTACTTTTAAAGCCATGCTCAGCTCTCTTAAACCAGCCCCTTTTCTGTGACAAAGATCACCTCCTGTCCTACTTTTCTTATCCGCATTTAAAAACAAAAAACCCCACAATTAAATGGATTAGCGCCATGGGTGGAGATTTAAATAGGCTTTGGGGGTTGGAGTGGAAATGAGAAACATAAGAAGCCTGAGGGACAAAGCAGGTGACAGGGGTGAAATGATCAGACTAATGAAATTTAGTTCCTGTATTATCTGTCTGAGCCAAACTTCCGACTTTTCTTCCTTCCTAAGGGGGAACAAGGTGAATTCTGATTTTTCTCACCGTATTCTTGAAGCATGCCATCTTTGATTTAGCTGCAGAGATGCAGCAGGGATGAAATGCTCTGAAGTCTGTTACTGGTTTGCTTCGCATGTGCGTGCGGGGTGCACGTCAAACGCGCACCTCACACGTATGTGCACTGCAGGCACTGCCATGCAGCGCTGAAAAAGGAGACTCCTTTTCTGAGTCTGCAAAGGTAAGTAGGAAAGCGAGGGGGGAACAGCTGTGCAGCACGATTTAGATTCGCTAGCAAATATAAATTGTGCGGAACAGCTGATTGTCAGAAATACCAGTTCGCCTGAACTGGTAGCATTTTTTACCACCGGTTCGGGTGAACCGGTCCAAACTGGTAGCATTTCACCCCCGAGATGCAGGCGTTCCTTGATTTATGAGTATTCTTGACAGATGTTAAGTGAATTTTGCCCCGTTTTACTACCTTCCTTGCCATCGTCGTTCGGCGAATTGCTGCAATCGTTAAGCTAGTCACACAGTTGTTAAGTGAACCTGGCTTCCCCGTGGACTTGGCTTGTCAGGAGGTTTCAGAATAAAATAAACACACGATCCCGGAATACTGCAACTGTCACAAATATGAATCCGTTGCCAAGGGTCTGAATTTGGATCGGGTGACCACAGGCGACGGTCGTACGTGTCACTTTTTTCAATGTTGTGTGTTTGAAATGGTCACTAAGTGAACTGTTATAAATCAAGGACTACCTGTACACAGGTGTAGCCTTGAAGACACCTTACCTGAACCTTTTCTGAAAGTGCTGCTATTTTCCTCCCCACAGGCTGAACTGCAATCGGGAAGAGGATGTTCTTCCATAAAAAGCTGGGCTGGTTAACCCCAGACATCGTCACCAGCCCCACTGATTCTTGCCTTTCACCCTCCATGCCGTCCTGCTCGGGGGGCTCTCCCTGTCTCGGTTCGAGAACTCCTCCCGTTTACAAAGTCTTCAGGATGGCTGGTTTGAAACCTCCGGCATCCTGGTCTGTCCCCGGTGGCCCTCTGGCATGCGAGGGTCTCTCTTCTCCTCTCCCCAAGGCCTTGGGGACTCCCATCGCATTGATGTCCTGCACACCTGGGGGCACAGACTTCAATCCCTGGAATCGAAAGGAATCTGCAACCTGGAAAGAAAGGAATATTTTCGCAAAAGAGCTCCCCAGCCTTTCTGGTTTTTCGTCTCCGCTCCCCGGCCCTGGGGAACCCTCACCGTGGGCTGTCCAGTGCCAGCCTGACTGCATCGCACCCCCATGCCTGACAAGCTTTCCCCTGTGTAATAACCCTTGTGGGTCTCTGTTCATAGTCCCCTGCAGTACCCAGCCTATCAATTTGCTTCCTTGTGGCATGCAACTTCCGCTGGCCCCAAACTGTGCCAGGATGATCCCATGTGCTGTGAAGGGTGTGAGCCGGTGTCCATGTGCCACGAAGTGTGCGAGCTGTTGCAAGACAGAATCTCCCCTGGCCTCAAAATGTGCCAGCCCTCTCCCATGCACCATGACATCCCCGTATGCTGCCAAATATGCCAACGGCACCCCATGTGTCCTGGAACTTTTACCGGCCTCAAATTGTGCCAGCCCAATCTCATGTGCCACTAAGGGTGCCGCTGAAATTCAATATGATGCAAAAGGCACCACCCTCACATCCCTATGTGGCACCAAGGGTGCCAGCATCCACCCATGTGATGTGGAAATTTTACCAGCTCCAAACTATGTCAGCCCAACCTCTTGTGCTGCTAAGGGTGCCACCGTAATTCCATATGCTGCAAAAGGTGCCACCCTCACATCCCCATGTGGCACCAAGTGTGCCAACTTCCACCCATGTGGCGTGGAAATTTTACCGGCCCCAAACTGCATCAGCCCAGTCTCATGCGCCACTAAGGGCGTGACTACAATCCCATATGCCACAAAGGGTGCCACCACCCCATGCGCCTGTGCCACAAAATGTGTGAATGCAATTTCTTCGCTGCCCCAATGTTCTTGCCCAGTTCCTTGTGGCACTAAGAGTGCGATTTCAGCCCCACTCACCCCTTCCTGGCCCAACCTTACCACATGCACCCCAAACTCCTGTTGTAAAGCTCCTGCTTTTACTGTGCCCCAAGTTATACTGAAGTGGGCAGGGAGATGTGGAGTTTCCTGTCCAAATATAGGCACCCTTCCCGAATCGCAAACTTGCCCCTCCACTAAATAAAACTTTCGCTAAGAAGTAAGAGTCCTCCCAATGTAGTTCGTCAGCCGAATTCTGAAGACACAAATCCCGTTTAGAACCGATAAGGCCCTTTTCCCAATTCTTCACTCCACCTCATGGTATCTCCAGTCTCTTGGTGGAAAAGGGACTTCAACTCCCAGGATACATCAGTAGTGAAGAATCCTGAGAAGTGTAGCTTTATGAGGTAGGCTAGATGTCTATAGCAGAGAATTCTGAGTCTTTTGTGGGAAGTCTTGTATGTCCTGGGTCTGGTGGCTTTGGTGTCATGTTCTCCTTTCTTCTCGATCTTCCTTTTGAAAGCACTTCTGTGTTTAATAAAAGCTGTCCATGACTAAGTGAATACTTTGTGTGTTTGTATGTGGGATGGGCCCAAGCCTACCATTCTAGAACTTGGGTCCTGCTATGGGGAGAAATGAGCAGATATTTCTGATTCCTTTATATTTCCTCAAAATATTACTTCTTTTCATCACGTAAAGGGCTGCCGCAAAGCCTGATTGATACTTTCAGGGCATGCTGGACTACAATTATTATTATTATTTATTTATTTAATTTGTATACTGCCCTTCTCCAACAGGACTCCAACAATGGGGTTTTATATCTCCAGAACCAGAGGAACATCTACAGTTCATGGGCTTCTTCGTCCCATCAGCTCAAAGCCACCTGTCCACCAACTTTCCACTTCAGCCCTGTCCATGTTGACCTTCCTTTTCTCTCTCCTCCCCTCTTCCACACCCCAGAACTTATTTTTCAAGACAACAGGAGGGTGACAATGTGCTGTTTCATCACCTTTCCTGATTCGCATTATTTGCAAGTCGGGTGTGAAAATTGCAACCACAAGCAACAGAGGAAATTAACAGCCTATGGGGCAATCATTAGCAAACCACAAAGGAGGTGGCAGCTCTGGAAGAAACACACTGCAATCACACAAGCTCTCTGCAATTCTACAGTTATCAAGGTGACAACAATCTTCCAGAGGTTGCGGTGAAAAAAAATGTGGTCGGCTTTCTCAGCCCTTTGAGCGATGGGTGCTGGAGGTATGGAGGGCCGAGCTGAGCATTCTTTGCATAAATAAAATAATAATTCCCCAGCATCTCTTGTAGAAAAGGACCAGGAGACTAAATGCCTCCAAATCCACATTTTTAAAGAAAGAATTTTATGAGACGAATTGCTGCTCCCAACCACAAAAAAAAAAAAAAAAAAAAAAAAAAACACCCAGAATAAAAGTGTATTTTAAAGACACACGAATGAAAAGGGTATCTTAGGCACATAGAACATATACAGAAAAGCTGCAGAACAAAAGAAATCATTTGCCAAACAGGCAGATTAGCCAAAATTAATGTACACATAATTAGGTAACAGGTGCACCAATATATATATATATATTATTGGATTACATGTATGTATTTATGTATGTATGTATGTACGTATATCGGTGCCTAACTGATATGGAAACAATGCCAAATAGATGCAGCAGCATTAAAAAAAAAACAGCTTAAAATAACATCAATACATTTGCCAAAAGTCTTTTTTTTAAAAAAAATTGGTGTATTTTTTAAAAGAGAAGATTAAAGAAAAAGAAAGAAATCCTAGAAAAACCAAAAATTGCAAGAAAGGGGGGAAAGTAAAAACAAAAAAAGAAAAGAAAGAAAAAAGATACAAAAAGGAGCAGTTATAACTGAAAATTTATCTCTATTTTTACAACATGCAGTCATTTTCTTCTTCTGATGACCTGTTG